ATAAACATTATTTAGTGATCTTGTTTGGTGATCATGCACGTTATGGTAGAACCTAATATTTATGTTACTTTTTAGTAGATTATTTATAATTTTATAAACAAGTTTACATTGTTCCACCTCCAATAACACTCTTAATTTGTTTAAATTTAAATTTGAATAAAGTGTATTAGAACTTGTAAGCCAATCAAAATTAAACAATATTTTCAGAACTTTATTTTGTAAAACTTGAGCTTTATTAAAATTAACTTCACCGCACATACCCCATACTGGCAAGAGGTACCTAAAATGTGTAAGAAAGAAGGCATTATAAATTTGAAATTTGCTTTTGTTGGACAAATAATCTCGACTCTTATATAAGGCAGATAGCATTGAAACTATTTTATCACAAATTCCATTTACGTGAAGTGACCAATTTAAACTTTCATCTATCAGTAATCCCAAATATTTAATACTTGACACTTTTTCTAGCGCTATATTATTTATGTTAATATTTAGATTATTGCTAACTATCTTGTTTTTTTGTTTAAATATAATGTATTTTGTTTTTTCAATGTTAATTTTTAATCTATTCGAAAACAGCCATTTAAGATAACTATTCAGGTCATCATTAATAAGATTCGTTAAAGCAATTTCGTCTGTTCCAGTATATACCAGTACAGTGTCATCTGCAAAGGTAAAATATCTTCCCCTCAGATTGGCCAACTTGAGATTCAGTACATAAAGACTGTATAACAGAGGTCCAAGAACTGACCCCTGTGGTACTCCATAGGTGCTAGATAACCATTCACTATCAATGTCTCCAAGCTTTATGTACTGTTTTCTGTCATATAAATAAGACTTAATCAAGCTGTACAAAACACCTCTAAATCCCATTTTAAACAATTTATCTAAAAGAATGTCTACGCTTACTACGTCAAAAGCTTTTTTTAGGTCAATGAAAACAGCTACAACTATTTGTTGTTTATCTAGAGCCATTGAAATGTAGTCCACAAAATCAACAACCGCACTAAGTGTGCTACTGTTCGTTATAAAACCATATTGAAATTCATCAATCAATATATTGTGAGTAACAATGAAAGATAACATTCTTTTTTTTATTAATTTTTCTATAATCTTAGAGAATACACACACCACTGAAATAGGCCTGTAATTGTTCATACATTTAATATCTCCCGACTTAAAAAGTGGGGTTATTTTAATTATTTTCAATTCTGATGGAAATATTCCATTTTGTATAGTTTCATTGATTAATCGTTCTAAAACAGGTATTAAGTATTCTCCAAGATTATTTACATCCTTAACCGTGATACCGTCATATCCAGGTGCTGAGTTTAATTTTAGTTCTTTCACAACTTCCAACAACTCTTCTTTATTAGTCAATGTTATCGAAATAGAATCTTCGTTGTGAACCTCACCAACAGAAATAAACTCATTCAACTGCTGAATCTCTGCTTCCAAATTTTCAACAATTGATCCACCGACCCGAGAAAAGTATTTATTTAAATTGTTTGCAATATCAAGTTGAGTGTTAATAATGTTATTTTCAGTTACTAGTTGATCAATTCTTACTTTATACTCCTTATTTTTTATTAGGCTATTTATAAAAGCCCATTGTTTCTTTACATTGTTTCCAGCTAAGCTCCATTTAGTTTGGAAATAACGGTTCTTCAAAGCACGTATTTTATTGTTTATTTTATTTTTGATGTTTTTAAATTCAGAGATGATAGTTAAGTCTTCTGGTTGGTTAATCTTTCTTTTATATAATTTATCTCTTTTTTTGATAAGCTCAAGGACTTCATTATTTATCCAGGTGTTATTTGTACGTATTCTTAATTTTTTTATATATACCGATTTACTTTTGCAGTCTTCAATTAAATTAATTAATTCTTGAAAAGTTGTTACATTTTTGCTTAAAATTTTTTGTCTAAATAAGTTTACACATTTTTTATAATCTACAGATTTTACCTCATAATCAACTTTGGTTTATGGAACTGCACAGATGTTTTAATGCCGTAACTGTTAATTTGTTATTACAAAAAAAAGTCAGAAGTCTATTTCTGCATTTATCTTTTATTGGAAACAAATGAAATACTTATATTATAATATAAATCTTGAATAGAAAAATACGTTTTGCATAAGAAAATCAAACATAACCTACAACAAAAAGCAACGATGCTTTTTTACGTGTTCAGAATAAAAAAATCTGCTGTCTCTTTTATAAGATATTAAACCAAGCCCTTAGCAAGAGAATAAGCCCATTGTGGAGCCATTTGGTTGATCCAAAATCGCTGGACAACTCATCAAAGAAGGCCGTTGTCTTTGAAAAAAATATAGCAATCGGAACATTACAGAAACGGTTGAGCATATTTGAATAAAGTTTTTTCTGAATGTTGAGTGCCACAAAGGCATCAACATTTGACTATTATTTCAGATCTACTGTTATGCATTTCCAGTCAAAAATAAATGTAGAAATCGACGATTTCACACTTTTTTTGTAATAACAAAGTAGTCCTTCGGCAAATTGGCCGTGTAAGGTCTTATTGTTAGATATATAATATACAGGATGTTTCAGTTTATTGTTGCATAACTTTAAGATTCGATAGAACTTTTAAAATTAATGCATAAAGTCTATATAAACATGGGTCAAAAAATGCGTAGCTTCCGAAATACAGGGTGTTTAAATTTACTTTCTAAAATAGTTTTTTTAAAATATTTCGAACAATATTTGATGTATAACAGTGAAAATTGATATACAAGGGTTATTTGGTACGACAAAACGAACCATGGGCATAGTTTTACTGTAGCCGCTTGAGGGCGCTCTCTACTGTACCTGTAGTGTATTAAAATGACCGACAAAATTTTCTTAGTGCAATTTTTTGCTTTCTGAACATAAAAAAGCTCTCTTGTGAATTTTGTGAATAGTTAGCCGTTTTTGAGATATTTCGATTTTTAAGGTTCGATGCATTTTTAATTATTTATGATAAAATAACGTTAAAAAGTCAGTATCTCGAAAATTTTTAGAAGCAGGCTAAGCCTGCATATATTTTTGAAATTGAAAGCAAAATAAGGTTAAACGTCAATTAGTTGACAGTTAGTTTTGTTGCCTGTTGAACCCTGAAACGTGTTTTTGCAATTGTGAATGCACGAAATTTAGTTTCTTTTACCTGTTTTTGTTTTGTATATTTTATAAAAATGCCATTTTTATTCTCCAATCAAGAGTTAGCGGATATTCATTTTGTGTATGGCTTTGTAAATGGAAACGCAGCAGAAGCAGCCAGAGAATACGCACGAAGATTTCCAAACAGACGACATCCAACTCGCTCAGTATTTGTAAGAGTGCATCGCCAAATAATTGAAAATGGTTTTGGAAATCTCCAAAGGGATCAAAACATAAATGTTCGTCAGCGCAGATTTACCTCTATGATTCTGCGTGAGTTTGATAGAGATCCGACCACAAGTGTTAGGAGAGTTTCTGGTACCTTAGGAATTTCAGCAAGCCATGTTCACCGTGTTCTTAGAAATGACCATAGATGTCCTTACCATTTCCAACCTGTGCAAGGACTACAGCAAGGGGACGGGGAACGAAGAATCACATTTTGTCAGTGGATTCTTGATAGAACTGATAATAATAGGGAGTTTTTAAGTAACGGTTTATGGACCGATGAGTCATGCTTCACTAGACGTGGAGTGGTAAATTTTCATAATCAACATATTTGATCGCATGAAAATCCGCATGAAGTTCGGGAAAGACATTTTCAGCATGAATTTAGTGTGAACGTGTGGATTGGTATCTACCGTAATCGACTATTTGGACCCTACCTTTTGCCTGCAAGGTTAAATGCTGCGACCTTCGTGGAATTTTTAAAGGCTGAACATGCAAATATGTGGGATGATGTTATGTTAGATTTAAGAAGATTGGCCTGGTTCCAGCTTGATGGTTATCCAGCTCATTATTCGAGAATAGTTAGAAACTGGCTGGACGAAAATTATCCAGAAAGATGGATCGGCCGTGGAGGACCAGTCGCCTGGCCTCCACGATCCCCTGACCTAGATCCATTAGATTTCTTTGTGTGGGGATTTCTAAAAGAAAAAGTGTACCAGACTCCCGTAACTACAAGAGATATGCTAATAGACAGAATCAGGAATGCATGTGATCATTCGCAGATGTGAATTGTGTATTGAACAATTGGGTTTACATTTCGAGCAACTACTTTAGATTTTTTATGTTTCTCCTAACTATCCAATAGCATTTTAGTTGTAAATAATTAATTTAACTTGTTAAAAATAATATTGGGAAATTAAACAAATTAATATTCTGTTTTTTTGTGTTTATTTGGAGTTAGGAATTATTGCTGTATTTAAAAACACAATCTAAACGATCATCTTAATTACTTGTAATGCCCAAATCTAAAATGTAAAAAAATATATATTATATATATTATTTTCCCATAAATAATTAAAAATGCATCGACCCTTAAAAATCGAAATATCTGAAAAACGTCTAACTATAACGAAAACTCACAGGAGACCTTTTTTATGTTGAAAAGTGCGAAGAATTAGTTTTTTTATTCAAAAGCAAAAAATTGCACTAAGAAAAATTTTTCGGTCATTTTAATACACTACAGGTACAGTAGAGAGCGCCCTCTAGCGGCTACAGTTAAAGTATGCCCATGGTTCGTTTTGTCGTACCAAAAAACCCTTGTATATCAATTTTCACTGTTATACATCAAATATTGTTCGAAATATTAAAAAAAACTATTTTAGATGGTAAATTTAAACACCCTGTATTTCGGAAGCCACGCATTTTTCTACCCATGTTTATATAGACTTTATGCATTAATTCTCAAAGTTCTATCGAACCTTAAAGTTATGCAACAATAAACTGAAACACCCTGTATATAGCAGATATCACAGATGATCCAAAATAACGATGTCAGCCAGCCATCTCTATAATCGGATTCCTTCACCTTCTGGTGTTTCAGTAAGACATTTTTTTCCAGCCCGTTCCTCTGGGCGGTCAACCAGTGCCAAAGGTCATCGTCATGGGCAGCAGCACGGCCTCCGAGACAACGATCAACACAAGCACGGACAGCTCGAACACGATCGTGACCACTGTGACAGCTACCGATGGGGATTTGACAGAAGACAGCCTGGACCTGACCGAGCACGTTGAGGACATTTTGGGACAGGAGAATGTGTTGACCGAGGGTGTCAGATCTGGAAACGCCATATTGCAAGTAAGGAAATTATAAGATAAATGGCGTGCCATTGTAGATCATATAACTAGCCGTTTACACCCACTTCATTGGTGCGTTAATACTCGTAAATCATTCTCTGAGCCTACATTCACTTTCTACGTCACTGGCGAGGAGGTATTGTAAACGCGAAAAAAATCGAAATTGAGATATTATACCACGAAAAACCATAATATCAATCAGTTTCGCTAGAATTCGTGTCTGTCCACTAATTCTGGGTCTGTCTATAAGTACCGCTCGGATTTTGATGTAATTTTCATATGTGGTTACTACTATGCTATGCCTAGGGTAAAAAATCTTTAGGTTTTTAAAATCGCTCCAGTAGCAGCGAAGCTGCAGATAAAAATCGAAAAAAAGCATTCCTCAAACTTTTCACGTTTTAGACCCTTAGGATTATTTTGAAAAAATATTTGAATTTTTTGAAAAAAACTACAATTTGCGCTTTTGACCACCCTGTATGAGCAAAAATTAAAATTCGAAAAAGTAACCAATAGGATAAAAGCTGAGGTTTTTCATACAGATTTCAAAATGTCGGACTGGGGGGTTGCCGAAGTGGGAGGTTTTTCTAAACAAAACTCCTTATAACTCAGAAGCTAATTACCAAAACCCATACCACGCTATATCAATTGTCTTCTTTTGAATTGGTTTATCCAAATATGCAATCAAATTTGAGGCATTCCATTTGAAAAATCACAACTTTAATATGTAGATCGAAATTTGGACACCCTGTATAATGGCCAATGTTTTAGAAATATTCCGTCCACACATGGATGGGCCACCCTGCATATGCAAATGATGATACACACAAGATTATCTATAGTAGCATTTATGTTCACCCGCAGGAATTTGTCTCAGGCGGGAGGGAGAGAGGCATCCTAAAAAGCCCCAAAATTATAAACAAAAGCATGCTAGATATGCACATTTTGATTGTATGAGCCTGTTTGACTGACTTACTAATTTTTGAAATACATGTTCGTAGCCAACGTTTTTCTTAGAGGAGCTAACTTGTGTCAAACATAATTCTTTGTGAACTGACAGCGTTGCATCGGAATTGTAGAGTCACTTTTTTAGTTTAAACTTGTCAGAAAAATATGCTTATTACCCATTCAGGCAGAATGCTGCTTTCTCTCCGCGGTTGTACCAAAAGGCCTCTCAAGAATATATTTCTGTTGTAAAATCCGTCTATATGATTTTACTCTGTACGCAGCTGGCGAGGAAGTATCTTCAAATCGGCTCGGAAAAATATTCCGATTCGGTTGCTTTTGCATAATCTTACTCAAAAATGACCCATTTTCTTGAATATATCTGCATGTTGCCAGGTCCAAAATTGCGTCAAACATATTTTCCATACAAATTTCAAAAATCGTTTTTTCACCCTATACACAGTTTTTTTTTTTAGATTTTACTTACTACGCCACTGAGCGAGGAAGTATTGTAATGGCGAAAAATTTGGAAAATGACATATGTTTTTTTTGACATTATATGACTTGTACGAAAAACCATGTCACTTATTTCTGTCGGTCTGTCTTTTGGTTTGTCTGGCAATCCACCCGCTCAGAAATTTGCACACAAGGTTACTATGATGCCAAGCTTGATAGTTTTTGAAAATCGATCCAATAGCAAAGGGCAAAAAGTGAAACACAGAAATCGGTCAATTTTTTGTTGTTTAAGAGGATCCTGATCATTTTTGAAAAAAATAAGGGTTAGAAATGACACATAATTTTGATGGATTTATCAGCGCCAGCTAGACAGAGCCGTATTTTGTTTTGGTGCTACAAGCAAGTTTTGCTATATTCACACCCGATTCATTATTGCCATCGTTACAGACTAATACAACGATGTCACTTGCTGATCAGATGTTCACCTCAGTAGACGTGAAATAGGGTTTAGAGTGTATTTTTTGACGTTGGTTTAATCATACACTTCTAGCCGAGATAATTCTACGCATCTATTAGACATATTCCTCTGATCATAGATTTTCCCGTCCATTAATCGAAGGTCCTCCTTGGAAAAATATTTTCGACCTTCGCATGTCGCGATTCTGCTGATGCATGAGTGTAGCAGTCTGCCTCCGCTGCTCGATATGATGTGGACCGTCAATCGTCATAAACGCCAGATGTACAGTAGCGGACAAAAGTTTTGGCAACATTCTTAGTAATTCTTAAAAAGTGTGCTAGTTTTTTATTCTTTATTATTAAGGCTGTTTTTTTTTTCATATAGTTTGCTGATAGTCCTGAGGATACAAATGACAATTTGTGTTTGCTGTGGTACTACAGACTAGCATTAAAATACCTTCATATTATTTTATGACCAAAAATGAGGCGACAAAAGTATGGAAACATATTTTTTATTACAATATCAAATACAATAACTACACAAAAAGATTTAAAAAATACTGTCTGGCAAATATTTGGTAGCATAGCCTTTAACATTCAACACTGCCTGACATCTGCTGCTCATAGAAGACACCAATTTTTTACGGAGGAGATTTTGCCAAATATTTTTTACCTAATCAAATAAATCTCTCTTCTTCATCAAGAATATCTTTGTAAAGTTTTTGATCCATTTTCCCAACAATTTTAATAATTGGACCCGTTCCAGAACTAGAAAAACCGCCCCAAGCCATGATGTTGCTTTCACAACGTTTAACTGTTGGCGACTGATACTTTTTGTCGAATCGTATTGGACGTCTAATATATACCGTACCGTCAGATCCAAACAAGTTAAATTTGCTTTCATCGCCCCCTTAAAACTGTATTCCATTGTTGTTCTATCCTAGTTAGATGAGTTTTAGCAAATTCAAGCCAAGCGATACGATTTTTGTTGACATGAGAGGCTTTTGCAATGGACGCCTACCAAAATCCCAAAATCCATCAAGCGTCTCTGCACTGCACTCTTCAACGATTCTTGTGGCTGGAATTCGAGGGAAAAACGTTTAATGTAGCGATTCAAAACATAATCGTTTTTCTTCGGTCTTCCGCACCCGGGCCGCGCTGCTGTTGATATTTACTAATAATTTTCGAAATCGTCCCCTTGTTCATTTTTAATCTTTGAGAAATGTCAACATTTCTGACTTCACTTCTAAATAATTCAATTACTTTGTCTCTTAAATCTTTTTAAAATTCTTTTAATTGTGCCATTCTCATTGATCTTAATATTTACCGCACGCAATATCAGAGTATCGCAGAACGAATAAATACGGCAGCACGTGAAATATTTCCATACTTTTGTCGTTACAAAAACTGTGGTATTTCAAAAAAGGTGTTTTTATTTTCAGAGAATTTGAATATTGGTATGATAAACCTTGTAGTACAGGAGCCAAAGGTAGAACTTTAATATTTATATTATCTGTTCCTTCACAATTTTAATTTAGGTATATAAAATAGTTCATAATTATGGATTAAACGACTTACCTTAAGGAAGTTCAATCCAGATTATACGAGATTGGTCACATCCACATAGAACCACCATGTAATATAGCTGTGAGTGCGCCAGTGTTTAGATAAACGTAATCGCTGCCACCTAGCCTGTCCCGTCCCGTAGCACTGGTCATTATACTTCGGAGCTGGATATGATCGCTAATGGGAAGGACACGTCTTGCATATGTTTTTTTTAAGTAAACTGTTTAATAAATAGTGGGAATTTGGTTCTATTTGGATGTGACCAATCTCGTATAATCTGGATTGAACTTCCTTAAGGTAAGCCGTTTAATCCATAATTATACTTCGATTGGTCACATCCAAATAGAACCACCTTGTAGATGTTTAGAGAATTTAGCGATCCAATCATATCCCACGAAAACTTATGTTTATTTTCCAATATAATTTCCAACAATCGATTTATAATAAATCTATTTCCCAAAATATATTGGGTATATAATTATCTAATAAAGTAGTGCACTATCATTGTAACTGTTACATTTATATGTATGTGTATAATCCTAAGACTATAAAGTGACATATAAATCCGAACGCCCAGTTTAAATAGTTTTATTTTAATAAAAGTTGGTGAATGTATTTGTCTTACTGTAAATAACAAGTGAAAAAATGTTCAGCCTTATCAGTTGGACATTCCGGTTTTCATACTGCTTTTTTTTAATTCACTAACGCTCTAAAAATGAATATTTCAGCCGCAGTAAAGAATCAACGTTGGCGGATTTTGGTTCTTGACATTCTTTACGATCGGTTACGATGCCTAGAGTACGGAGACCTGTACGATTTCGTCAACTTTGTGTGAGTTTGATAGGGGCCGTATAGTGGGACTTCGGAAAGCTGGACTTTCTTTTCGGGCAATTGCAGTTAGAGTGCAAAGAAGTGTAGACACTGTGGTTAGGTGTTGTCAGGCATGGCTTCGAGAAGGCCGTACGCAAAGAGCAAGGGGCACTGGACGCCGCCGTAGAACAACAGACCGTGAAGATCGCCGCCTAAGATTATTGGCCTTAAGGGACCGTTTCTCCACTACCAGGTCCATTGCAAATGGATGGTTTGCAGAACACGGAAGACCTATTGGCATGCGAAGTGTTTACCGACGAATGAGAAGTTTTGGCTTGTTTTCATACCGGCCACACTGGGTCCTCCCTTTAACTCGAGAACACCGACGTAATCGCCTTGAGTGGTGCAGACAACGGTCACTCTGGGATCAGGAATGGAACAGTATTGTCTTTAGTGACGAGTCTCGATTTTGTTTAGGCATGCACGATGGTCGTGCCAGGGTTAGAAGGCGATGTGGTGAAAGAAGGAATCCACAGTTTTTTGTTGAAAGACATGTTCATCACACTGTTGGAGTTATGGTTTGGGGTGCTATAGCTTATGGTTCCAGGTCACCTTTAATCTTCATCAGAGGTAACATGAGTGCGTAGCGTTATATCCACGAAGTTCTAGAACCCCATCTTTTACCCTATCTTGACACCCTGGCAGATCCAACTTTCCAACAAGATAATGCCCGACCACATGTTGCAAGAGTCACAATAGACTTCTTTCAACATAATGATGTCACATTGTTACCATGGCCACCAAGATCTCCCGACTTATCCCCAATTGAGCACGTGTGGGATATGATGGGTAGGAGATTGCTCAATTTGCAACGTTCTCCTCAGACTCTAGAAGCACTTCGAGAGGAGTTGGTGGTTGCCTGGAATGAGATACCACAGGAGGACATTGACCACCTGATCAGAAGCATGCCTAGGCGCGTTGGAGAATGCGTAGCACATCAGGGTGCATCCACACATTATTAAAGGTCAAAGGGCTTAAAAGCAGTGCAATCATTTTGAAATTTTTATCATTTACTTATTATGCTTCATTAAGTACTTATACAAAATTTTATTAAAATAAAACCATTTAAACTGGGTGTTCGGACTTATATGTCACTTAGTATATTTGGCTAAGCTTAACGATATCATTATTGCAAAATTTCTTTTATATAATTAGCAAAATATCCTCGTTCGGGTCTATTATAAAATTGTGAAAATGCTTCTGACTTCTCTGACCACCCCGCTGCACTTTTGATGTTTAAAACATATATCCCAGTTTGCAATGCTGCTGTAGATGCTGCGTGTCGAGTGCTGTGGCCCTTAAATTTATTTGTGTCGATTCCACTCAGCTTTAGTAGATTTTTGATCCAACGACTGATTGTCTGTGGTGTAGCGGGGTGATGAGGTTTTTTATGTGTTAATATGAGCTGATCGTGATTGTCTCTCAGTAATTTCGGTTGAGCTTCTTTAGGCGTAGAAGTTTTGATAACATCCGTTATGTGTATCACTAGCTCATGTTCCTGGGTGCCAATATTACTTATTCTAATTTTGGATGAAGTCTGGGCTCTTTGTGCCGAATTCATTGCCAACAATATAACTAACTTTAGGGTAAGATCTTTCAGAGTGAGATTTTGTAGTGGGGATAGATTTTCTGCAAATGATAACACCGGAAGGGGATCCCATATCTCGTCGTACTTAGGAAACGTTGGCTTCATTGTGAACACTCCTTTCATAAACGTTTCTACCAATTCGCATTTCCCTAGATCCGATATAAGATTCAATGCTGATCGGTGAGTGTTTAGCGTATTGTAGTTAGCTCCTGTTTTGAATTGTTGATCTAAAAAATTAAGAACATTTGCTGTAGCTGGTGAATATATATTTTCAATGTTTCAACTACAAAAGCTCCACCATTTACCAAATGTACAGTTATATTGTTTCAGTGTGTTGGTGCTCAGAGAGGCCAGTAGAACCTCTAGGGCATCTCCTGTTATGCCCTTTTTGATGTATATCTGACAAAACTGCTGCTCCCAGAGTAATCTGTTGCCATAGCGGATGCGGTTCCCTAGATGGGCGAGGTTCAAGAATTACTATGGAGGAAATTAGCATAGATTCTAATTTTGGAATCCAGACCTCCGATTTCCACATCGGAAATACAACTATCCCTGCTGCTTCATCATCCTCCAATTTCTTTAAAACTTTGGACATTAGCGAAAATGGAGAAAATATATATGATTTGAATCCTGTTCAGCAGAGAGAAAATGCATCCACTGCTAAGCTTTGTGGGTCGGGATGCCATGACACAAATTTTTTACACTTGTTGTTAATGTGTGAAGCAAATAAGTCTATTTCTGGTATTCCCAACCTGCTTGTAATTATTTTGTAAGCTGTTTTATCTAGGATATACTCAGTGTCGATATTTTTTATTCTCGACCAACTGTCTGCCATGTGATTGTCTTTGGAGTTGATATAGCTAGCTAATATGATTACAGCTCTCTCCTCACACCACTTCCATATCGTAGGAGACAAGTCACTTAGATTTTTATATTTTGCACCCCCCCCCCATCCGATTTATCTATGATACTGCCGTTTCGTTATCGACCCTGAGCAAAATATAACAGTTGCGATGCTCCTTCGCAAAGGACTGTAAGCCAAAAAGGCCGCCTTAAGCTCTAGGATGTTTATGTGTTCTTTACATTCTGTAGCTTGCCAGAAACCATTAGTTGCCTGGTTATCATAGACAGCCCCCCACCCTAGCTTTGAGGCATCCGTAAAAATATGCATATCAAATTCTAGTGATTTGAGAGATTTCCCGGCCCTATCGATGGTATTTAGCCACCATAAAAAATCTTCCTTTAAATCGTGTGGTATTTTCATGGCCATGTTATAATTTTGATTGTTATGCCTTAAAGCTAGGTATTTGGTTCTTTCCATGTTTTTTGTGTATAACCAACCGTATGTCATTGCTGGGCAAACCGATACCAGATAACCCATAATTCTTGAAAACTCCCTAATTCTAATCTTGTGTTTTGAATTAATGTGTGTAATAAGTAATAAGTTGTTTTACTTTAATTTTCTTCCTTTCTGGAATACCCATTACCATTGTGTTTGTATCGAAGGCGAACCCAAGGAAGTCTGCTTTTTGTGATGGCCGGAGGCAACTATTTTGATAATTCATGATAAAACCCAGACTTGTCAATAATTCGCAGGTTTTTTCGATATTATTGCGACCCTGCTGTTCAGTCTTACTTATTAATAGGATATCATCTAGGTATCCAACTGACATTAGTCCATTACTACGTAATTTCGTGAGTACTGGCTTGAGAATTTAAGTGAAAACAAAAGAGGCCACTGAAAGTAAAACGGTAAGCTTTGAAACTCAAAAATATGCCTTGATATTCAAATCTCAAGTACCGCTTATGAATTTTCTGAATTGGTATTAAATAATAAGCATCTTTGAGGTCGACGGAGGCTAAATAATTTTTTTTAGAAACTAAATTCCTCACACTTCTGGAATCTTCAAGTTTAAAGTGTGGGGCACTAACGAATTTGTTTAACTGTTTTAAATTAAGAATGAATCTATTGCCCTCACTGGATTTTTTCCTCAAAAAATAGGATGATAGAAATTGATTTTTTGAAGGCTTGACCTGATTTATAGCACCAATTTTTTGCAATTGAAATATGCCCTTAGTGAATTGGTGTTGTTTCTCCAAATATTTGATTTTAACGTTCGGCTTGCGATACTGGTGAGGAGGTTTGCAGAAAGGTATTTTGACTCCGCGAACCCACTGTAAAACTATTTCGTTTTTTGTGAGTCTTCGCCATATTGGTATGAAGTCACCTATACGACCAGCAAATTTAACCTCTAGCGGAGTTTCTTTGTTCTGTCCTTTCTTCTGTAATCGCTGGTGCCTTTCTTTGAGTAATCGTCGGTCCAGGGTTGTCTGCTCTTCGGCTGTTTGTTCGACCAGGTTGTCTTCTACCGTTTCTTGGTTGTGCCGCCTCTCCAGTTTTTTGACGTAGCAGATTGAGTAGCACGCATATCCTTGATAGTGTTTTCTAGCGTCTTCGTCATCTTGCTGTTTTCGCCAAAATATTCTCCGAACAGAAGGGTGTTAATTCTTTGATTTGATGCAATCTTTTGGATCTTGCTGTTAAAATGGCGATTGCAATTCAATTTTCGATGTTTCGATAGTTCATAATGAATTGAACACAGCAACTAGCCTGCCTCTACCAGTTTTGTGAGATGAAAGGGGATTTCATCTTGCGTTTCTTTGCTCATTGTGTCTGTTATTATGGCACCGAAGATTCCAATGCCTTTCCCCAAGTTGCTCTGAAGATCGTGTAGAAAGAATCCTTCTTTAATTCAATAGGCGAGAGCATTGCCTGGACCTCAAGACTGAGCTTAGAGCCCTGTAGCATCAAGCAGTTCCCAGGAAAAGGAGATGATTCTAGGAGCTTCTTCCAAGCTTCTTTCTCTAGCCCTTGGCATAAATAGTTGTTCCAACGAATAGCAAGTTCATTGGAAATGTCTGGTCCCACATATTTCGATATGGTTGGGTCATCTCCCAGTATACCAGTAACATTCACCTCTTTCTTGGCTTCGGACGAGGATCATGAAGAGCAAGACCTGGTGTCTGACTTACTGACTTCTGTATCGGATTCCGAACCTATGGCAGAAAGACATTCATGTAGGCTTAACTGCGCAGTCATTCACGAAGTGAACGTATTGTCAGAACCATGTAATTTCCTTCCCTAACTCAGCTTGCATGAGTCGAAGACTATGAGGGATTATAGTGATGACATATTGTGTGGCTCACGGAGTGAACAAATCCCTGCTGAAAAATATCCCTCAAAGAGGGATATTTGACCCTATCATAGTGGAATGTACTTACTAGAAGAGTCCAACTTCATTGAACGTTCCAGCTTCCTCAACTTCTCAAACTCTTCCTTCTGCAACTTACGTTTACGGCTCATTGTTGCACGATATTACGCCCGACGAAAAAACCGCACAAAAACAATAAACACTTGACTCACTTCACTCAGCGTCAGAAGTATAATGACCAGTGCTACGGGACGGGACAGGATAGGTGGCAGCGATTACGTTTATCTAAACACTGGCGCACTCACAGCGTTAAGGGGTGGTTCTAATTGGATGTGATCAATCGAAGTATAATAATGTTGATATTTGTTTCCCAACTTTTGTCCGCTACTGTACATATAGTTTCGACCATGTGCGCCCGCTGGAATTTTTCTCGGGTGAAGGAAGAGTGTCATTTATCGGCAAGGGATAACTTTGTATGAAAGTCTTACCTCCCTCCAAAACCTTTTGTAGAGCGAGGGTAGCATATGTTCTCAAGGGGTCAAATCCTAGAGTCATAAAATTCTACATAAAAGGATGAAAAATACGCAAATTTCAATTCAATGAGCCCTTTTGACCGACTTGATTCTATTAACCTTATTATTATACATATTCATAGCTCTTTTTTTCTCAGAGGGACTAACTTGTGCGAGCACTATCCTTCATGAATTGATGGCAGCGTTGTGTATCTACTTGACGCCATTTTTTTCTGGAATTCTAGAAGTCCTGCACTATATCAGTCTCGTAAAAGAAAAAGGTGTCCGGTAATTCACTTGACATAACAAATTACATATAAATTTAATCCACGACTCTTGTGACGTTAACCTCACGCGTCGAATGTCCTGCCTAATCTTTGATGGCAGATATAAAAACATCCCTTCTCAGCAATTCCCAGTTCGATGTAGGTCACGAAGAGGCGTAATGAAATTGGCATTTAAGCTTCTCAAATGGGCTTCTTGAGGAAACAATTTCCCGGCTCGCCTGAGAGGCTTCACTTTGGAAACATAACTGTTATCTTTGTCCTTATCCTCCTTGTGAAGGAATAAGAGATTGTTATTTTCACAACCGACCAAATACCATTCATTAGCGTTGGAGGGTGTCGTATCGCTGGCAAATCTCGCGTTTTCGTGCCTCTGAATGTCAAGTTTATGTGAATTGGTCTTAAGTACATAGTTTTGGTTTCCGCGCATAGAGGGTGGGTGGAAAAAAGTGAAATCTAATATTGTTCAAATTATTGTAAAGTGCTATTACTGGTTTTCAGTAAGTAGACAATCACCTACTATAGTCGACGGCATCAAGCCGTTACAGTGATGAGTCAGCGGTCGACGCGAACTGAGATGCCTTAAAGTCTCTTTTAAAACTCTCACAGTGGTCGATTCTGCTAAAAGATGGCACTTTGTGCTGTCGTATCTTGTATCCTCTACTATCGTTTGCATTCCTATACTCTGGGCGCTGAAGAAAGACATTAAACGTAAACAGTGATCAGCACGTGAACAGATCCCTCGAAAGCATCCACGGATATACTCCAGTCACTTTAGGTCTAAACATCCTCGGCAGTGTATTTCTAGTGAATCCACAGACCCTTTTTCGTGTCATCTTGAGACTAGAAAAAGGATGACTGTTAAAATAAGTTACCTTGATCTTTCATGAGCTCCCAGTACAAAACATCATCGATATATTTTTGATGTAGGAACAACAAATTGGTTTAGAAAACATCCACTTTGAACCTAAATTGACTGGAGTAACATCGATCTACAGACAAATTCAAGGTCACTAGCAGTCGTCGGCGCTCTACGAATCTGCACAGGTTTGGACTTGTAAACGTGATTATAGATGACACGACAGGCATCTAACAGTTAATTCACGCACAGGATTGCATTGCATACGCATTACGCATTCAGTAGCGTATACTCGTTTTTTGCGAGTGGAACGTTTTGTTTATATATTGCCTAAGATACGATGTCTGACACAGATACAGCCGACGAAGTGGTTGACATCAGCGCAACCCCACCCAAAAAAAGGGCTAAGAAGCTACATTTAAGTGCAAATGAAAAACAAATAATATTAAATATATACAAAAATCAAATTCAAGAAAAACCCGATTTGGTCGTGGACGAAGTTATATGTAAGGTAGCACATATTTCTGGAGTATGTCGGTCCAGTGTTTATAGGATCATTAAGGAATATAGGAGCACTCACTCACTTTCTGAGCCAAAACCGTATCCTGCAAGAAAAAGGATAACGGACGGAGTAGATGACTTTGACAGAACTGCCACCAGGAGGAAAGTGCATAATTTTTTCTTCCGAAATGAGATACCTACAGTAGATAAGATATTAAGATTAGTTAATGCTGATGAGGATCTTCCATCATTTAAAAGAACCACATTCCGAAAACTTTTGAAGGAACTTAATTTTCGATTCTTGAAACGGGGAAGAAACAGTATGTTAATAGAGAAAGAAGAAATTGTTGTGTGGAGAAGGGAATACCTTAGGAAGATTCGGAAGTTTCGCGATGAAAAAAGAAAAATTTACTATTTGGACGAAACGTGGGTGAATGCTGGACATACCTAAGCGAAAGTTTGGGTCGACAAATCAGTAACATCATCAAGGCAGGCTTTTCTAGACGATCTTTCGGCTAGATTGAAAAATCCTGCAGGTAAGCTCCTTCATCTATCCGGCAATTTAATTTTGATAAATTCGGGCAAATAATATGCTGTGATAGCAGATAATGTGTGATATTCTCCAAAAATGGTGCATTCGCAGTGTAGTCATTAGGAAAAAAACTTCGACCCTCTTTTAAGCGTTATTTTGAAATTTATTATCATTTTTGGGTGCAGTCAATTTGCTTTGAATGGGTTTTGAGAAGTTGCAAACTTCAATTTTCTACGTTTTTCAGTTTTTGATCAGCATTCCGTGACTCTTAAATTCAGCTAAATGAACTCAATTGCCTCATTCCTTCAAATTTAATCAATCCATAGTGTAAGGAATAATTTATTTCCAGGAAAAGGCAAACGGCTGATCATTTGTCACGTAGGTAGTGAAGACGGCTTTGTTCCCGAAGCACTGTGGGCCTTTGAATCAAAAAAGACAGGGGACTATCATGAGGAGATGGACGGCAATTCCTTTGAAAATTGGTTCTCCAAAATGTTACTAACGCTGGAGAATAACGCTGTTATTGTACTGGATAATGCCCCGTACCATTCTAGAAAAATAGAAAAAATTCCCACAATGGCAACTAAAAAAGCAAACATACAACAATGGCTGGCCTCAAAACAGATCGATTTTGATGAAACAATGGTCAAGGGTGAATTGATAAGTATAGTCAATAGACATAAATACAAATACGATTTTAAAATGATCGACGAAATGGCCAAAAAACAAAATAAAACTGTCTTGAGACTGCCACCCTACCATTGTGAGCTGAACCCTATTGAGCTGATTTGGGCCAACATAAAGCAATACGTGGCGTCGAATAATAATACTTATAAATTTTCTGATGTTAAAAATCTCTTTCACATCGCAGTCAATAGAGTTACGGCAGAGGAATGGAAAAACTGTATCCGCCACGTTCGGGAGAAGGTTGAGGTCAAAATATGGGATTTGGACAATGTCATCGATACCCAAATTGAACCTCTAATAATTCATTTAAACGATTCAGAAGATTCAAGTTCCTCTTCTGAATGAGTGCGCGCAGCTTACTTACTAATAACTAAAAAGTGTAGTTAACTCATTTGTGAATCTCTAACTGAAATTTACTGTAAAAGATAATAATTATCTTGTATGAAATTTTTGATGACTACCCATAATATCTTGATGCGGTCCTGTAATGTCTCCTGCGCCTAAACACTCACTCACGAGCAATATGCGTGTATTTGTTTGGGCTTAGTTTCTTTCTTCAGCGCCTAGAGAATAGCTATTATGTATGTATCGACGAAAGAGACTAAACCAAAACAGTGATCATCGCGTGATTATTGCGTGATCAGTACACTGATATGTTTCAAGAGAGAGGCAACATAACTGTTATTGAGCAGAATAGGTTGAGCCCTTACACAAAACCAATGACAAACCAGAGCGCGGAGTGGGAGACGATACGACCGTGCAGGCCGGCTGTCCCGGTGGCTGGCCGTACAGTACAGAGTTAGCATCAGATTTATACTGGTATTACTGTGTGTCTATTAGATTTGTCAGTTTATTTTCGTAGAACTCAAAATGACTGATACGGATACAGCTGATAAAGTTCTTGGTATAAGCTGCACACCGCCTCAAAAAAGGGCTAAAAGGCTTCATTTTAGCGTTAGCGAAAAACTAATTATTATCAACATTTATAAATACAAAATGCAAGGAAGGAGTGACTTAAGTGTTCAGGACATTGCTTGCAAAGCTGACACCTACATATTTTTCAATGCTTGTAAGACGAGGAATTTCAACTAAAATTATATTTTATTTTTGTTTTTGTACATGCTTGAACTATATCGAGATAAGAAATCAAGCAATCATTTCGTTGGGTTTTTAATGCTTCCAATAGGAGCGGTTTTAAAGTGTCAAAACTGAATTATTTTTAGGAGCGATGGATAATTTGCGACATCGGTAATGAAGATTGATATGTGCCCAATCCTTTATGGGCATTTAAATTCAAAGAAACGGGAGACTACCATGAAGAAATGGATGGAACCTCGTTCGAAAATTGGTTCACAAATACTCTACCGAAGCTTGAAGATAATTCGGTTATAGTATTAGATAATGTTTCATTCCACACGAGAAAATTCCAACAACTTCAACAAAAAAATCAGAAATTCAAGGATGGCTTAAAAATAAAAAGATTGATTATGATGATACAACGGTTAAGGCAGAATTGTTACAAACTGTCAAGACGCATAAAACTAAATATAACCTGAACATAATTGATGAAATGGCCAAAAAACAAAATAAAACTGTTTTACGACCGATTCCTTACCATTGTGAGCTCAATCCGATTGAGCTCATTTGGGCAGACATACAAAAATATGTTGCAGCAGAAAATAAATGTTTAAAATTTTCTGACCATAAAAATATTTTTCATGGTGCTATACAAAGAATAACACCGAATAAGTGGGAAAATGTATCAGCATGTAAAAGAAAAGGTTGAACCTGAAATGTGGGAATTAGACGGTATCATTGATAGTCACACGTTGCCCCTTCAATCACAAATGTTGATGACAGTGGGAGTTCCACGGCCTCAGATCTAGAATGATTTTTACTTTCAAACATATGTATTTCCGGTT